GTCTTAACTTGGAGCAATTATGGGATAGGTGACCTTCTAGGAAGTTCCCAGGAAGTGTGCGAGTGAGGACAAAGCACGCTGAAAAGTCTCGTGTTGGTTTGTGGGGACAGTCATCAGTCCCGAATAAGTTGCCGGTTTGTGGGGACAGTCGTCAGTCCCAAATAAGTTGTCGGGCTGTTACAATGGAACCTCTCAAATTTCTGCTATTCTCGCTTAAGCGAGAATCACCTCGCTTAAGCGAGTTGCATCTCGCCAAGCGAACAGCATTCTTGCCTGGGCAAGATTGCGTCTAGAGAGCTACTTATTACTCCTGCGACTCCTCGCTTGAGCGAGGTCACCTTCCGCCTGAGCGAGATTCCTTCTCGCCTCGGCGAGATTACAGTTAAGGCAATCTTATTTGCTCTCGCTTGAGCAAGATTGATCTCGCTTGAGCGAGATATCCTGCACCCAGATTCTAAATTTCTCTCCCGAGAGGAATGACAGGACTAGGAGGCTGCGGGTAACTACTATTGTTTTCATAGTAGCTACTATGGGTGACGACCAATTCACTATAAATAGATTTTTAGAAATTAGGGTTTAGGAGCTTTTTACACTTTTAGATTTTTGCCATTTTAGGAACAATTGGAAAGCCTAGGTCGACCTTGGGTGACAGCCAAGGGTCCAACCTAGGGTTTGAATTACATTTCTTGTTCACTTTTCTTTAATTTTTCATCTTGATGTTATTGATTTCTTCTTACTTTCATTTTGTAATTGTAAGACTCATCCTCATGGAGGGCTAAACTTTCTTTTAATCCTTAGTGAGTTCATATGGATTCTTGAATTTCTTTGCTTTTGAATGTTAATATAATTCCTTTTCTTTCATGAATTTTTTCTTCCTAATCTCTTGAATGGAATTAATGGTTGAATGAGGAGGACATTGTTTAATTAATCCTAATTCATTTTAATGAGATTCTAAACTTGAATTGCTTAATTCTGGGTTTATTTCTAAGGTTGCGTAATCTTGGGATAAGAGATTAGAGTCCATTGAATTGCTTAATTCATATGGAAACATAAGGTTGATTTTTGCTTGTTAAATCAATCGAATTCTGAGAGGAGAGAAAGAGTATTAAATTTTGAGAGGAATAGGGATAGAGTCTATATGAATGAACTAGGTGTTACTACATTTGATCGATTGAACTCTGCAATTTAATTTTCTATTTAAGTTGATTGAACTTGAAATCACAAAACTCCCTTTTTTACTTGCTTTTTGAATACATTGCACACTACATGTTTGATATTTAGTTACTTATCCAATGATTCATGGGATACAACCTAGGTTAGCACCTTAGTATTGCATTAATTTCTGTTTATGTTTTAATGAGGATTCGCGACAAATCTTTCATTCATTAACTTTATGTTGGATATAGCAGTGATAAAAGTTTGAAGTGCTGAGACTAGCTGAACGAAGATGTGTAGTTATGTTGCATCATGCTGATTTTTATCATTCTAGAGTCGAGTTATATGTTTAGGTGGTTAGACATGTAACGATAGAAATGCTAAGTTGTGTTGTGTTTGGATCCAAATATCGGGATAGGTCACTTGCGGACTGGAAAATTATAGGTTCCTTTTGGATTATTTGAGCTGTTAAACCAGTTAGAACTGAGCTATTGCATTTGCATTAGACAACAAGGAATTGGCTGAGATTGTTGTGTTATTTGCTAAGAATTATAAAAGTTGTATAAATATTTCTGATATTTTCATACTCTATAGTTATGATGGTTAGTTATATAAGCTCACCCTTACATTTGTTTGTGCTGGTGTGTACTGCGATGACTATACGATGGTACGTGAGCAAGTGTGACAGATGATGTGTCTACTTCTCATGCTGGAAAGTTTGGCTGAAGGATGTTATGAGTTTAGTGTTTATTTTGGAAGATTATAATATTATGTATTTTGTTAGTTTAGATTAATTAACTACGGAATACGAGATGTACATATTTGATAATTTTGAAAAAATTGTATTTTGATCTTCATGTAGAGCAACTAATGTAAATATATACTTATATAAATTTTTGGGTTGTATAATAATACCCTTAGATCCTTGTTATTCTGTTGAATTGTTGAATATATATATATATATATATATATATATATATATATATAATCTCATAAATAAATCCATATAGAGAACAACGATGCATGATGTTATTAATCTTTTATAGAAAAGGGTCATGACAATATTATGGGGCATGCAGTTGGTCATAGCTAGAAGCATCCATTTTGTTTGAATAAAATGTGATTCAAAGGATGATATTTCGCTAGGAGCATCCAGAATTGTAGTAATCCTTTTTATCCCGTTATTAGCAATATTAGGAATCTATTTAAAAAGATTAAGTTTGTTAGATTTAGCCATGTCTTTAAAGAGGCAAAACAGAGTGTTGATTGTTTGGCTAAGATAGGCCTTGCTCATGTGTAACGCCCCGAATTTTGTAATATAGTTTAATTATTAATATAAGTGTTTACATGGACTTTCATGTGTTATTATTAATTATTATTATTATTATTATTATATATATATATATATATAGGGTGATGAGAATACATGTGTATGCTAAAATCAGACTGAAATTTGGCTAAGTGTTCTGCTGCAAGGTATTCTCACTGGGCTCATTTCGTACCCGAGAAGCCCATGTATGAAAAAGGTTTAATTTTACTTCCTCATCTAGCTACTTTAGGTTGGGGGTAGGTCCTAGGGGGGAACGAGAGATGTCTCGCTGTAGCGAGAGGGCCCTAGGAGGAAGGCGTGAAACTGTTGCCTTGTCGCTGTAGCGACAATTTAGGGTACATTTTTGGGTGCAGTCTCACTGTAGTGAGAGGGTCTTGCTGTAGCGAGATTCTGCAGAAACCAAGGTGCATTTTTCTTTGATATTTTTGCTGTAGCGAGAGACGGTGTTACTGCAGCGAGGCTCTCACTGCAGCGAAAGAATCTCGCTGTAGTGAGAGTGTCACAACCAGAAAAGGATTTAAAGGGGTTAGGGTTTGGGGAAGGGTTATTTCTCACTTTCCCTTCGAGATTTCTTTAATTCTCTCACTCCTAAACCCTATTTCACCAATTAAATTGCCTCCAACCCGCTTAGGAGTAAGATTGAAGGTTGGATTTGTGTAGGGAATACTTGAAGGTGATTTTTAATGGTTAAGATTTTGGTTTCTCATCCCTATCCTCTGATTTCTCGATTTTCTTGGGTTTTCATGGAGTTCTTCCATGTATTTAGGCCAAGTTCGTGTGGGGAAGCGCCTACCTTGTTGAATTGGTGTGTGGGTCTTTATTTGAGGTAAGGGGGGACTTTACCCTATCTTAATTTGTTTGGAAATCAACTTAATTGCTGTGTTTTAGTAATGTGATTGAGATAGGACATGTGAACTAGTGTGTTTTGATAAATAATGCATGTTGGGTATGATTTTTTATGATGTTGAACCCTATTATGAATAGATTAGGATGAGGAATTGATGTAAATTATGCTGAAAATTGTTGTGTAGGAGCTAGAAATGTTGTGCGTTGAAGGTAACGTGAATGAATGTGGGCCTATGCGCCGTGTAATATTAATGACTATGGATATTGTGTCGTGTGCTGTGAATGAGAAATGTGTGCGTGTGAATGGGGTATGTTGAATGCCATTGTAATGATGTTGTGAATGATTCAGCAATACACTGATGGTGTGGAAGATAAGGATGGTAGAAATACCTTGGAGAAGAGAGAGTGGTGGTGACACCAACAGTGAGCGTGGGTGCATCACAGGCCACACACTCTCCTTCTGACTAGACCTCTGACCACTACCTTTGCTAAGTGACCCATGACTACCCACGTGGTATCTAGAGGCAGGGGTAACCGACAACCATTTATGGTGTGAAACTATGATCACAATGCTACCATGAGCGTGGCTAGGTGCAATGAGTGCATGTGTGTAAATTGTTTGGTGCCATGAGTGCATCGATTATGAACTAGAATGATATGTTTGAAATGTTGTTTGTGATTGCCTAGACTTGAGTAGAATATATTAGAACACCTATAGATATGCAAGGTGAGTCTTTATATTATGCATGTGTGTGGGATAATGTAGAATACTCACCCTTATATTTATCATTTCAGGTGACCAAGACGATCAACACCTGACTTAGTGAAGGGAGGATGAACTGCTATAGGACTTAGATTGTATTTTGAAATTATGATATAACTGAATTAGTCCTGTAGTAGTCTTTGATATAAATTGTAATCCTTTATTGTTTTGAACCGTTTTATAAAACTCTGTAATGGGATCTTTTATTAAATGAAAATTTTATTACTCTCATTTTATAAAAATTTTACTTAAAAATTAAATTTAAGGTGTTACATAATGAGTTACAAGCTTCCATTTTTTATAGGCTTCCTCTTCCCTTTTGCCCTTCTAAGACTTGATTCTTTAGATACTTTGTGGCCTAGGCCTAGTGCCTAATTTGTTATCTGTTTTTAGTTTTTAGCCTCGTTATATATATATATTACAAAATGTGTATAGATACATTTATTTTACATCTACCCGATTTTTGGATCCACTGATTCCCTGTTACACGAATGAATTGCAATTTGAATCCTCCAATGAGTAGTCTAACCATAGAATGTGATTGTGCGTCAGTTATGCTCAAAAAATTAATCATTTCACATATTTATCTCTAGTTTTATATTGACTAAAAATTACTGTCTTCGTGTAATGAGAAAAAAAAAACATTTTTTTCACGAGAACTGGTGAATATTAGAAAAGACATTCATGAAAACGTTTCGTAAAAGGGTGCAATAAAAGTGATTAAAAATAATCAATTAAAAAATAAATGAAAAATGAAAACTTTAGACAAATCATGCGAAAGGTTGTTGCTATACAGTTTTGTCGGGACATGTTTTGTTCAATTTTAATTATTATAGAGACATCAATGAGACCATCATATTACAACAAGTTATCTTCCTCACCACTTACCACTGAAACATCTAAACCATGTCCAACACACATTTCACAGTGAACGTTCTTGAGCAATGCAGAATCACTCCCCCACCCAACACAACTCCAACAACCTCTATCCTACCACTAACCTTCTTTGATCTTCCTTGGCTCTTCTTCTCTCCAAGCCAACCCCTCTTTTTCTATGAATTCCCAACCTTTCACTTCACAACTACAATACTCCCAAAACTAAAGCAATCTCTCTCCCTCACACTTCAACATTACTATCCTTTTGCTGGTAGCTTTGTGCCATCACATGATCACTCCAAACCTCATCTCATTTACACTAATAACAACTCAGTTCCATTGACAATATCTGAGTCAAATGGCAACTTCAACCACTTTTGTAGCAATCACATTAGAGATGTCAAAGATTTCCACTTACTTGTACCCAAATTGGCATGTGAAGGTAATGAGTTTCCTTTGCTAGCTATTCAAGTAACATTATTCCCACGTGTTGGCATTTGCATCGGTATTACTTTTCACCATGTTGTTGCTGATGGGAGAACCTTCCACAATTTCTTCAAGACATGGGCCTCATATTGTAGCTCAGGGTCAGCTTCAACATTCCGACCAAAGTCACTGCCATGTTGTGACCGAAGTGTGATTGTTGACGCAAATGGCCTTGAAGAGGTTTTCTTGAAAGAATGGAAAAAAAGAGGACTAGCACAGGGTATTGCCATAGGTAGAGAAGCCAAACTGGTAGATCTTTCAGTCTTGGTTCGAGCCACTTTCTTAATGGGTACCACTCAAATGGAGAAAATTAAATGCTTGATTATTAATTGTTGCAAGGATAAGAACCAGCCTCAGCCTGTTCATTTATCTGCTTATGTGTTAGCTTGTGCTTTTACATGGGTTTGTCTACTCAAAACCCAACAAAGTGTGAATGTGAAAGCAATCCATGAAGACAACACATACTTGGGATTCATTGCTGGTGGAATAACTAGATTGGACTATGCGGTGCCAATGACGTATTTGGGTAATTGTGTTGGCTTTGGCAGGGCATCAGTGAAGAGAGAAGACATACTAGGAGAAGATGGGGTTGTTGCTGCAGCTAAAGCAATTGGAAGCACGATTAAGAAACTTGATGCATCAATTTTTGCGGGTGCAGAGAAATGGATTTTGGATTGGGATGTGTTACATGGGTCAAAACAGCACGTGTATGCTACCTGGTCTCCAAAATTGAAGCCTTATGAATTAGATTTTGGGTGGGGGAGGCCCAAGAAAATAGAGGAGATCTCAATTGATTTTACAGGAGCTTTTTCACTCATACAAAGCAGAGACATTGAGGGTGGAATTGAAATAGGCTTAGCTTTACCCAAGAATGAAATGGATACTTTCTCCATTTTGTTCACCAAAGGGCTTGATGCTCTACCATGATCTACTCTAGCGAGACCTTCTACTGATCCATGTCTCTTGCATGTAGTTCTTTTTTACTAAAATTAAGGAGACTAAGAAAAAGGGAGTGCGAACGTGGGAATGAAAAATGGGCACATTGTCACAGTTTCTATCTCGGTATGTCATGTTCCTGTGGTTTCATGTTCAATAAAAGGATGTACGAGGATTGGATCATTGTTGAAGAATTCTATGAAGGCATTATGTTATTTTTGTATGTTGTTTTTCTTAGCTTTTTTACGATCACATTTTCGGTATTGAATATTCTAAAATATATTCTCATATAATGACGACTCTCAAATTAAAATGACTTCATTCAACATTCCCAGGTTTTCATTTTTGCAGTTGTGTGTTAGATCTTATATCTAACGATGGACTCAACTTTTAGATGATAAAAGTTATCCCTTGCTGCTCCTGTTTAAAAAAAATAAATATTTAATTCATTGAAAAATCAGTTATGTATTATAAATTTATATTCTATTTTTAAAATATTTATAGCGTTAAACAATAAAATTAGCATCTTATATATTAAATAAATAATTGTATTTATCTTTAAGAATAAAATGTAACTAATTTATTAAACAAATCTTATAAAAAATAAGAATATATAAAAAAATTAAGAATGAATACATCTAAATAAATAAATTATATTAGGTCTTAAAAAATATTAATAATTTATTACAAATAAGAACAAAGATAGTATTTTACATGACAATACTAATATAATAAAAAATTTGATTAAATAATTATTTTAATTCTTTGATAAAATTAAATTCAACGAAACCTAAATCCAAACCTAATACCGTAATATCATTATAAATTTTAAAAATTAAGTAGGGGCATTTATACCCCACATTATTATTACTCCGTACACTACCTCCATCTTAAAAATGTTGTCATATTATATATAGGTAAAATTAGCAATTTAGCTTTTTTATTTATTTTTATCCTCTAATTTTATTTTTTAACATTTTTTGTTTTATTTTATCCTAAAATATCAATTAATTTTTAAAAAATTTATATTTAATTTTGTTAATTATATGATTTTAAAGAAATTAAGTTCTAAAATTATTAAACTAAACATATTTTAAAACATATTCAAATATAATAAGTCATATTTATTAAAAAAATATTATTGTCAAACAAATTTATAGTAATTTAAAACGCAAAATTTGACCATTTTAACTGACACATAATTTTGACAGTTCAAAATTATGAGAAAAAGTTCACGTAAAGAAAATTAAAAAAAAAAAAAGATATCCATATTTTTAATATTTTTTAAATTACATTAATTTAATAATTTTAAAAAAACTCCATTATTTACAAACAAAAAAGTAAAAGTAGCTAGGCCCACGGTACAAATACAGCTTGTCCGGGGACCACATCTTCAGCGAGAACAGTAGAAACGACCAAAATTATAGGTAGTACGGATATTATATATAAAGTGCACGTGAGTATTAAGTTTTAACTTATAAATTACGGGTGGGCTGCGGTCGGGTTCGGGAGGGTGCGGGCCCAATAACCCAGAATCGAGGCAAACTGATGGATTAATTTTAAGGCCCATTACCGACTGAATAAAGAATCGGGTCACACGAGTTTTGGGTTGAGTGGGTACCGGGTCAGACTAGTGGGTTATCTCGGATGGGTCAAAATATTGGGCCTTCAAATATATTACAGATTGTTCAGGTTAAAATCTTTACTACTTTATTCCATTTTTTGAAAGATAAGGCCCAATTCTAATTTTTGCTTCTTTATCATTTTTTTTCAGATTATACAGGCTCAATCCATTTTCAGTTTTTTTTTACTGAATCAAAAATTCTGGTTCAGGAATGAAAAAAAATTGTACCGTTCTTTTAACACCTAATTAAATCATCCTCATGTTAAGAAAATATAAAATAAAATTAATGAACAATTTGTATCATTCTACAATATTCACAGTTTAAAATCTAAAATAAAAATATTTTAAAAATTAAAATTCATTATAATTCAAACTCCAAGAAAAAAAAAACTTAATTATTTATTACAATTCAAAATCTAAAACTTTAAATACTATATCAATAATATCATCACCATGAAAGAGTAAATATTATATTAATATATCATCAATCATCAATAGTCAACAGTTTAGTTTATTGTCCATAACATTAAAAATATTATCATTATAATAATTTAGAGTTTAAAGTTTGTTATTTATTACAACAACAATGATAATTCACATAAGTAATCATATTTAATGATGTTTAAAGTGATGCATATGTTCAACTTCAGTAATCAATAGCCAAGTAGTTTATATGAAAAAAATTAATGCATTAGTAGAAAAAATAATACACAATTATTTTATCTAGTTTAAACTTCAAATTAATAGAGAGAAACATGCTTATATAAGATATCCTATGAATTATTTTAATAATCTAATGATTCCAACATAAACTTCAACAACTTATTATTACATTAACTGAAAATAAAAGAGAACAATATGATAAAATAAAATAATGAATATGCTTGAGATAAAACGAATTCTTATTTTATGAAAGCTAACTTGAACAGAATTTGTTGTGAATTTTCATCAAACTCCAAAACCAGTGGCAGCACCTCCAAAACAACATTTCTAACACAAAATAAAATAAAATGAGGCAATGACCAAATTTTAAGACAATCAAATTTAAAAATTGTAATCGCAAGATATATTGAAAAATTCATATTATCGTTGTCTTACGATATATTTACAATTATTATCATGACAAAGCCAGCAAAGATACAACTCTAAGCCTCAAAACTATAACAATAAAACAATTAAAGTAAGTGAAATTATAAATGAGTCAGTCCCAACTAACATTTAGAAATAGTTTATAAAACTCAACTATCAAGTAGAACCCAACATATACTCCCTGCCAAAATATATGATAATGAGTGATGACTTCCAAAAGTATTGAGTACAAGTGTCCAATAGCTTCAAGACACTCCAAAAAGTTGAAAACTATAGGAAAAATATAAATTCTGAATTAATGGACAAATAATAAATATTAAATTGATTTAAAAATAAATATGAAATAAAAAAAACAACCAAATGATACGATTTCAATGATTTCTCATTGGTTATGACTGAGTACACAGCTCTACTCCAACCCTAAAACCAGCAGCAGCACCTCCAGAACTAGAACCCAAATGGTAAATAAGACAGAAATATACCTTCTTCCTTGATTTTTTCAATTTGTGAGGGAATGAATATGCTGACTACTGAAGAAACGGGAGAGGAGGAGGTAGGGAAGACAGGAGGAGAAAAGGAAGGAAACGCATTGAGAAGGGAGGCACTGTAACAACTTAAACTTAATTTCATTAAATGTCAAATTTCAGATAATAGGAGAAAATAAAATTTCATTCAAAAATAGTTTTTCCCCATACATGGTTCATTAAAATATTTCAAAGTAATGACAGTTACAACTTACATCAAATCATTGCTACAGGACTTAATGAGTACATCAAATTTTTTTCAAAATAAATTTCTAAGTCCTATAGCAGTTTCATCCATCGTTCATTGAGTTTGATACTAATTGTCTTAGTCACCTGAAAAATAAATGTAAGGGTGAGTACTCTATGCTACCCAACACATACACAAAATTAAACATAGAGTCTCACCTCACGCATACTTCACATTATTCATAACCCATCTTACACAAGCATAATTACAAACAACAAAGTTCAGCAATTCATTTCAATTCACGACCGATGCACTAATGACACCAAAACATTTTACATGCATGCACTCACCGCACGCAGTCACGCTCACTGTGACACTGTGATCACAGATTCACAACATGGAAGGTCGCCGGTTACCTCCGCATCACAGATACCACATGCACGATCATAAGTTGTTCGGCAAAGGTAATGGTCAGAGGTCTAGTCAGGAAGAGAGTGTGTGGCCTATGGTGCACTCAAGCTCACTGTTGGTGTCGTCACCACTCTCTCTTTCCCAAGGTATTTTTATCATCCCCATCTTTCACACTTCTAGTGTATCGTTGAACCATTTATAGCATCATCACAACAGCATTTAACATGCCCCATTTACACACATTGCAATTGCACACAAAATAATCATATTTGCATACGACACTCAGGCCCACATTCATTCACATCACACGCCATACAGGCTCATATTCATTACAAGGGTTCAACTATCTCACCACCCATCACATTGCATTCAAACATACAACAATTTCCATAAAAAATACACATTTCATACCCTCTATCTCAGTCACATTGCAATATTTAATAGAATAAATGAAAATCAAACATGATGAGATAGGGTAGAGTCCCCCTTACCTCAATTTGAAGACTCACAACGTGAATCAACACTAGAATCGTCTCCCACATATAGGTTCCATCCTCCAAGCGTCCCCAACACGAATCTAACCATCAATCAAACTCACGAACAGCTTTAGAGGCAAGTTAATCGGTGGGATAGAGTTTGGGATTGAGAGGATCAAAGAAATCTCGAAGGTAGATATGAGAATAAGGTTCCCCAACCCTAAACCACTTTAAATCTCTTTCTAGTCGCAATACTCTTGCTACAGCGACACCTTCTCTCGCTGTAGCGACACCCTCTCTCGCTACAGCGAAAATCTCACAGGGAACTGCATTCTGGTTTCTGCAGAATCTCGCTACAGCGAGACTGCACCCAGAAATGCACCCCAAATTGTCGCTTTGTCGCTACAACGAAGGACCTCTCGCTGCAGTGAGAAGGTAACAGTTTCACGCCTTTCTTCCATGGCTCTCTCGCTGCTGTAACACCTTAAATTTAATTTCAAATAAATAATAATTTCACAAATTCAGAATAATAAAAGTTTCATAAAACATTTCGAAAAAGGGAAAGGGGCAAGTTTATATCAAATAACTGCTACAGGACCATTTCTAATACATCAATCTCCAAATAATATTCTAAGCCCTATAGCAGTTCCATCTAACCCTTCACTGAGTCTAGTGCTGATCGTCTTGATTACTTGAAAAATGAATGTAAGGGTGATACTCTAC